GCTGGATGTGAAGGCAGGAGAACCATTCTCTGCACACCTGGGGCCACGCCTGTCCAGTGGTCATTTAGAGCTCACTTGCAGGCCCTGAAGGAGACCATGAGAGTCTGGCTGCAGAGACTTGGTCTGAAAGTCCTGACCTCACTCCTGTGGCCATGGGGAACTTGGACCAGTCACCCACTGCAGGCCTGAGCCTCCTGTGCCCAGGCCGACCACCCCGAGGCTACCCTCAGCTCTGCCTCCACAGCAAGCCAGGCTCCTGCAGCCGAAGCAGAGTCAGCTGGTGCCTGGCATGAGTTCCTGTTGGGAAAGCCCAGCCCTGGGAATGGGCTGAGGGTCCTGATCACAGGACCTGCCATCAGATAGCTCAGGCTTTCCCCAGAGAAAACAAAACATAGGCTGGCCATCTGATCTGATTCTTCCACTTTCCCAGAGACCGAAGACTCTAAAATAAAACCCAGGGAGCCAGTCCCTTCCCTGAGACAAACAGTGGCCCACCCTCCATCCCCAGCCTTCAGAGCAGAGCTGAGCATTGGCCAGTGCCCTGAGACTGGCCAAGCAAGGGGCAGGCTTGGGACACAGTGGGGCTGCCCGGGTCAAGGTCCTGGCCAGATGCCTGCATGCAGCCTGTGCTAACAAGGGAATAGAGCTGCACTCAGCTTTGCAAAGTGTCACCACCAAGAGGGACGTGGGGGACATTAAGGGTGGGGCCAGCATAAGGGACATCGTGGCAATACAGTGCTTAGCCATGTGCTACCTGAAGGGCCCGAAGCAGTGATTCCAGTGCGTCCTGAGCGTGGATGACGCAGAGGGCCTGAGTGAGCCAGAGAGGAGGCCCAGAGACGTCTCCCTGTCCTCCCAGCCACAGTCATGGTCCTGCCCTGCCTGCCTCCTGCTCTGATGCTCCCTGTGGCACTGTGGGCTGGCATCCCAGGTCTAGCAGCCAGGGCTCACCAAAGCCCCACACCTCTTTCCCAGAGAGCTCGGGGTCTGACAAACCCGAGCGCCCAGAGGAGTTTCTTACAAAGGACTCCCCTTTCCTTGTCGCTGGCCATCAGTCGCCTCAGCCAGGCCAGCTCCATCCCCCTCCCCTTCCCTCTCCTCCCAGCCCTGCTCCTGCAACCCAGGGCCCTCCTGCAGGTTGCCCTTCCCCCTAAGAGAGTGTCCAAAGTCCACTTTGGCCTGAGAAAGCTCCTCACAGGCTGGTGAGACTGCCCGGGCCGTGGTGGCTGCTGTCCAGGGAGCCCCAGCATACACGGTCCTCCCATCAGCGTCCCTGTCTTGTACCAAACGTGGCTAAGTCACAAGTTCACAGGACTGTACATGCCCTGGCACCCACAATTTCCTTTTCTTGGTCTCAGTAGTGAACAAGAGAGGAAAGAAGGCACAGCACGATTTCATTCACAGGAGGTTACTGAAGAGAGAGTGAATGAAGCGATGAAGAAATATTCACAGCACACATGCATCCAGACTGCCTATTTGTGTTATATGCGTATAGTTACACATATGCAAATGTGTACGTGTATTTACATGTGCATGTAAGTCCATACACATATATAGCCATCCCTCAGTTCTCTTGGGGGGTTGGATCCATGATGCCCTCTGGATACTAAAATATGCAGGTGCTCAGCTCCCTTACATAACGATGCAGTGTTTGCAAGTAGCCTGTGCACAATCTCCCATGTGCTTTAAGTCATCTCTAGTTTGTTCATGATCCTGATGCAATGCAGATGCTACGTGAATAGTTACGCTGCATCCTTCAGGGAATGACAACAGGGTCTGTACGTGTCTAGCACAAATGCAATTACTTTTGCATTTTGATCTGCAGTTGGTGAATCTGTGGATACAGAGGGCTAGCTTGAAATTCACATACACATACACACACACACACACACAGAGCAACTGCTATAAGTGCACAGGACCAGGCATCTAGCCAAGCACCACACAGCAGGAACATTCTGCCCTCAGGGAGCCCCGAGAGGTTCATGCGCATCACATGGGATCTGTCCAGGAGGTGAGAGTCCTTGGTTTTCAGGCCCTGCTGGCAGAGCATGTGACTTGGGCCCTGGTGTCCCTAAGTAAGGCAGGGTGTGCCTGTAGCCTCAGTCACCACATGCTGCCAAGAACCCTGGTCCTGTAGCCCCGTGCTGCCTCCACCACCCTCCTGCTGGCCAGCCGGAAGCCTCAGTGTTACCAGGATGCCATCCGGCCACCCCAGGCCTATTCCTCTCTGGTCTCCTAGGTTGTCATCCCAGATGGTGCTTGGTGACTCACTTGTCGCCATCAGTGCCACCACTCTGGATATACCCATCCACTTGCCGATCGGCGCAGCCAGAGAGGTCTTTGCAGAACTCAGCTGCCACCCAGCGCAGCCCCCAACCCAGTGCCTCCAGCATCACTGCTTACTGGCTCCATAGGCAACATCAGAGCCTGGATGTGTCCTCAAGGCCTGTGGATGTGCTGGAGCTCTGCCTCACCAGCTCTGTGCTCTGTGCGGGCCCCTCCTTGGATCCTCAATGCCAGATCCTCTCTGGTGAGTCAGTATCACCCCAACCCTCAACCCCACCCAGGGTAACTCCAAGCCTCCTTTTGCTTAGTGCTATATGGTGAGCACAGTGGCATGTAGTAGGAGTTGGATAAACGTTTGATAAGGAGGAAGAAGAAGGAAGGAAGGAAGGCTGGGAGGGGGGAGGGAGGGCAAGTGGGCAGGGCCACTCTGGCTGCCCTGGGCAGCCCACTCAATCCCCAGAGCCGGGTCCAGCCCAGCCTGAACTTCACCCCTAGCCTTGCCACTGGGAATAGGCACAGGCCAGACCTCGAAGACTAAAGCTGGGGACAAACACTTCCGGTCTGTGGATTCCTCAGTGGGTGGCAGGGAAGGGGCCGGGGCCTGGGCTGTAACTGGAGAGTGCAGGGCTCTGGCCAACACCTCAGGGTACTCAGGGTGGGAGGGGACAGAGGCAGGGCCAGGCCCCTCTTGCTTTGCAGCCCGCGCCCAGTGCTCACTCTCTGCACAGCCGTGGGCAGGGCATCCAGCTTCCTCAGGGTAAGTGCCTGCTAATGTGGGGGACCCTGCTCCCATTTCCCCAGCTTGGCAGGGGGCTGCTGACTGCTGCTCTGCTTCTGCACCTGGGTCCTCCTCCTAGAAGAGCACACCGTGGTGCCCTGGTGTCTGGGCCCCCTGAGGACCTTGGAGCTCCCCTGTGTCAGGGCTGGGGCTGCCCAGTCAGGCACCTCCAGCCTTGGCCCACCGCTGCGTTTCCAGGTGTGGCAACGCCCCCCTGTGGAAGTCATCATTCCAGCAGTTCTCAATTCCTTTCAGCTGTTGCCAGTGGCCAAGAAGCTGAGAAACCAAGCCAATGAGTCTGGAGCAGGGGCAGGCTTCAAACTGACTCCTCGCAGCTCACCTTCTCTTGCATCCGAAAGAGGGGGCCTTGGGCAGAGAAGTTGTGCGGCCCCTGGCAATGCCAGGTGAGGAGCACACAGCTGGGGGCTGCACCAGGCCAGGGGCCTGCTGGCAGGGCTGCTAGGCACAAGGGCACCCTGGAGGGGCCATAGCACTGGTTGAAGGCAATGCAGTTGCCGATTACCCTTCCATTCTTCCCCTGTCCCAGGAGGAAGAACTCACCTGTACCTTTGACTTTGCTAGGTAGGATGGAGGGAATTCTGCAGTTTATTATCCTTTATATTTCTCTCCAAATAGCTTACTCTGGCCTCCTCAAATACAGACTGGCCTTGGCCAACCTGATTAAGACCAAATTAGTGAGGGTCGTTGTGTTCCAAGGTCTTTACTGGAACGCAAAAAGTTAGACAGAATCCACAGAACCCCAAGTGTTTGTCCCCAAGAGGATGGAGTCACCACGGACACCTATTCTCGGCCTGGTGGTTCTCAATGCGGGTACCAGGAAGGGCGACTACAATACGGATCCACTCTCGGGGCTCCCCTTGGGTCTCCCACACCTGCACACCAAGGGTTGGGCACAGGGTTCCTACCCCAGCATGTTGTGTTGGCAAAGTTACATGCCTGCCAACAGGGCTGGTTAAATGAATGACGGGTGAAGGGAACCCCACTTACCCACTGAAGAACAGCACACTAGCGCGCTGCTAGGGAATGGCCGCTGAGATTCGGCACATTACAGAGGCAAGCTCAGGAAGCGCTTGCAGTGCCCAGCAGGATGTGTATGTGGTCCTGGCTGAGCCCACACACTGAGGGCAGTCAGAGCTGGACGTTGCTACGGTCTGAGTGTGGTTTGTGTCTCCTGAGCGTCCATTGCGAGGAAAGGTTTGTCTGCAGGGGGTGCTGTTGGGAGGTGGAGCCTGGTGAGAGGTCCTTGGGCCACTGTGGATGTGTCCCTAGGGAAGTGCTCTCGGGAGGGGGTGGGGGGCTCCTTGGCAGTTCTCCCAGGAGGGACCCGCCCAGCTCTCTGCTTCCTGACTCAAGATGTGACTGCCACTACCATTTCCGCTGGTCACAAAGAACTGGTCTGCTTTTTTTTTTGGTACCGGGGATCGAACTCAGGTCCTTCGTCTTGTGAGGCAGATGCCAGAACCACTGAGCTAAATCCCCTGGCTGGAACTGGTCTGCTTTAAAGGATTTCCACACCTACCCTTCTCCCCACCTTCTCTGCCCTCTTTTCCTGCTTCGTGAATTTTCATTGCGGTCCTAAACCCAACACTAACAAGGCCTCGGGGACCACATTTAGAGTGCGTACACTGTTCTCTGACTGGTTACTAGCAGATATGTAAAATCTAACTTACCACTTAGGGGAGTGGCAATGTGCGGGCCGGCGTGTGCACTTGGGCACACGAGTGTGTGGTGATGACACAGGATAAAGCAATGACATTACCATGTATCTGAGAAGATGCGCGATTGGTAGAAACACAGACAGATCTGCTGATTGCCGGGTGTCCCTCACTGCGAGGTCTGCCACCCTCTGATTATGAATCATAAAGAGAGCTTGATGACAAGAGTGAGTTGACACAGTGACATCTTAATCCAGGCCTGGCAGGGAACAGTGGGATCTAATTTCTCCAAACAACCCAGGCCACCCTGGTCATCACTCTAATGTACAAATTAGCCTCATATCAGAAAGTCTTTATCCCTGACCAAACCATTCAAAACACAATTTGACTTTTCTTTGGTGACTCGGGGCCCTCTCTGTGACAGCCCAGTCATGCTGTGGGCTGCAGAGAGAAGACAGCAGCGGTGAGTGTGCCTCCATGGTCCCTACAGAAACGGCTCCAGGTCGCTGGCCTGTTTGGCCACTTGTGCCCTCAATGGTCAGCGGCTGTTAACTGTGGCACAGCGACTCACAAAGGCCCAGGGGATCACTTAGAGTGAAATGGCAAGGTGAACGTCGTCGCAATCAGTTGCAATCTCTGGTTCAGCAGACACATAATCAATGGCACTATGGTCCATCCAGCCTGAGTTAGCAGGGATGGAGGGCTGCAGGGGACCCGAGGAGCAGGTCTGCATCTGGGGTCTCCTAACCCCCAGCAGCCAGAGGTCTGCATGCGGGCCGGATCTTCACACCCCTGCTGATACCCAGCCTCTTACTGGTTGGCTGTCAGGCCATGTATTCCAGGAAGACGAGTGGGAGCTGCTTTCCTCAGGCTTGGGGTCCTTGCCCACTGCACGGCCTCCTGAGCGCCACCTGCTGCCAGGTGTGGGTGTCTGCAGGAGCAGGCCACCATTACATCTCTGCCCAACCCGGCCCCACAGAGGGCTCCTGGTTGGTTCTCTCCAAGTCTCTTGTTTCATCCCCATTTCACAGATGCAGAAGCTGAGGCCCAGAATGGTTAAAGATCCCAGTGATGTATTAGAAAGGTCTAGAGCTTCCGTTTTTCTTCACTGCGCTGCCTCCCTCAGGCAAGGCCAGCCTTCCCACTGCATCTCTCACATGTGGCGCAGGAGATCGAGGGCCAGGGTCACAGCTGCCCATAACTGTAGTCCCTTTCATCCGCTGTCACAAAGCAGCAGGGATTCTGAAATGTCTGACTTTAATATCTACTTACACGATGTTTTCTTGACTATGAAATCAAAAATTAGCTGCATTCCTTACTTCCTCTAAGAATCCTTTCCTTATACAGCCACACATCAGCCATCCCTTTCTCCACCATGGGCAGTGGCTGACCCCAAGGCTCCGGGTCAGTTAAGAATGCCATTTGGCGGCTAGAAATGCAGTGTGGTTTAAATAAGAGTATATTTTATTTCCTCCTGTCAGATCTGAGGTGGAAGCTCCATCGCATCCTCAGGGAATATCTCTCTTTTGCTCAGCCTCCCTGACTACATGGCCCTGTGACTAAGGTCACTGTGGCCCCACTGCAGCCAGTTAGAAGGAAACAGGCAGAGAGGACACAGGTGGCTTCTTAAGGAGTTGTGTGTGCCTGGGACAGGCCACAACCAAACCAAACCCAGAGGCCCCAGTAGGCTCATGGAGCAAAAGGAGGTAAATAGAGGTATGAATTGAATATCCTTTATCTGAAATGCTTAGGACTGGGATTTTCAGATTTTGGAGCTTTTCAGACTTTGGAGTATTTGCAATAGACTTTAGTGGCCAAGCATCTCTAATCTGAAAATGTGGAATACTCCAAAACCTGATACCTTTGAACATCAAGTCAGGACTCAGAAAAGTTTTGGATTTGGGAGCATTTCCAATTTTCAAATAAGGGATGCTCTCTCTCAACATGTACCTAGTGTGAAGACTGACAGAGATAAGAGAGTGGGCATGGGCGCTGAAGCAATGGGAGATTTGTACCTGCGGATGCCGGGGGACAAAGAGAAGAGGGTCGTGATCTGAACCTGGGGCTGTACCTCTCAGGCACAGCAAGCAGAGGCTGGGCCGTGGCTGTCCTCTGCTGTCACTGTGGTGGGGGCTCTCTGGGACATCTCTTAGCACATCTGCTTCCCCATGGTCAGTGGGAAATCACAGCCACCCAGGCTCAGCCACACCAGGAGTGAAGTTTCTCCTTTGCAGCAGGAGGCTAAAGAATCCCACCTTTTTGGGTGAAAGATGTTGTCTTAGTCTGTTTTCTGTTGCTACATCTGAATACCAGAGACCAGGTAATCAGGGGAGCATGGAGGTTTGCTTGGATCACAGTTGGAGAGGCTGCAAAGTCCAGGAGCATCTGGCAAGTATCGTCCTGCTGCGTGGCCGGGGCATCACACAGTGAGACACAGTAAGCATGCCAGCCAGCTCAGGTCTCCTCTTGTATTAAAGTCACCAATGTATCACATGAATCCAGCCTCGTGACTTCATCTCGTCTAATTGCTTCTCAAAGGTCTCAACCACAAATACCATCAACATGTGAATTTGGAGATCAAGTTTCCAGCACATGAACTTTTGGGGACACATCCAAACCATAGCAGATTGTGTCCCTGGTGGTCTTGGTTGCTGGACTTCAACAGGTGGGTTTCATTATGATGCAGAGGAGACTTTTGGTCCTGCAGACTGGAGCCCTAATTTGGAAATTGCGTAAGTTACCATCTGTTAGGGGTTAGTTTGAGGCTAAGATCTGAACATTTCCTCACGCCTCTCAGTCCACTGAGTGCTGATAACTGTAAGAGGGTGTGTATAGGGAGAGGGCAGAAGTAAATCCAACGAGTCCCTCCTTGAACCAGCTCCAAGGGCCGCCCTGTCCCACAGATGGCCTCTTAAGACAAACAACACTCAAGACATGAGAGCAGACAGATAAGAGGAGGGTCCTTGAGTCCAGCCTGATGACAGGTGGCTCTGGGACAGGTTCTGAAGACATGGGATTGTGGACACACTGTTCTTACTGAGCACCACAGCTCTCATGAGAGTATCTCAGCCCAAGTCAGTGCCACAGATAGGCCAATACTAGCTTGGTCTGGGTTTCATATAACAGTTGACTCGTGTAAATGGCATCACATCCATCCCTTGGCATCCAGGCTCGATTGGTTCCAGAAGCTCCACAGACACCAAATTCACAGATTTCAGAATCTGCAACTCAAGTCCCTTACATAAAATGACACAGCATTGGCATATAAACTACATGGACCCTCCTGCATATTTTAGATCATCTCTAGGTTACTTATGACACCTAATACAAGGCAAATGCCATGCGAATCATTGTAATGCTGTATTGTCCAGGGGGAAATGACAAGGAAAAGAAAGCCTGTGAACGTTCAGTACTGTTTCAATTTTTTTTCTGAATATGTTCTCTTGCATTGGTTGAATGTGTGGATACAATGCCACGGGTCTGACTACATTTCATCAAAGATCATTTGTACTCACAGGATTCACTCTGAAAAGCTTTTGACAGAGACAGGATTGCTATTTTGAGAGGTATCTTAAAACAGAAAAAGAAAATCCTAATGATCCAATGGTCAGTGTTCTTCCCTTGACATCAGGAGACCTCTAAACTCAATTCAGGTTCTACACTCAACTACCTAGATTTTTGGAATCCCAGGTTGACAAAGAAAGTGCTCAGTGATGAAAATTACTTGTGCTGGACAAGGACACTCCAGGCCTCTGACTTCCTCCTACCAATCCATCTGTGGTAGGGCCGGAAGGGGCAGAGCTGTGGTAAAACCTAGCTAACTGGCATGGCCCTAGAAGGGACACAGGATTAACAAATCCTGGACAAAACAAATTAAATAGGAACTCTTTTAACAGGGGCACATGCAATATCACAGGCAAAAGAATAACTGGTAATTACTGTCCAATCCCAGTCACAGGGAAAAAGAACTAGAAGATTCTGAGAGATTTCCAAGAAGTCGTAGCTAGCTTCCCCTCATCTTTGTTTTCTTTTTCCTTTTTTCTCCATCTCTTAAAAGCCTGGAGTTTTCTTGTAGCAAACTATTTTCTAAAACGTACACTATGCTATTTCTAGTTTCCTATGCCTTTTCTGAATCTTCTTACCTTCCCAGGAAAGAGCTGGCGTTTATGTCTGTTCCTCGGGAACTGGGATGGGTCATTGTACCTGGATCAGTGAGTAGACTGTGATGCCGATGATCCTGCAGGACCTCTGGAGTAAGGCTGAGCGGGCAACACGGCTGCCATGTAGCCAACTGCCACGCCGTCCAGAAACCTGTACAACCCATTTTCTGTTACTTTGATGAAAACGGAGGCTGGGGACTTACAAAGAAATGAGATTTATTTAGCTCACAGTTCTAGAGGATTAAGAGCATAGCACTGGCATTGGTTCAGCTCTGATGAGGACCTCGTGGTGGATGGTGTCACAGCGGTGGGTCAAGATCACAGTGAGACAGGAATTCAGGGAGCAATTCATGGATCAGGCTTGCTTCTTTATAGCAACTTGCTTTTGTGGAACTCAGGATCCCATGAGAACTATTTTAATCTCTTCCAAGGACAACACCTTCAAAATAACTTCATCGCTGGCTACAAGGCCCCACCTTTTAAAGGTCTTACCGCCTCTTGCATCATCACTTGGGGGAACAAGCTTCCGATACATGAATCCGCGGGGACATGTCACATCCAAGCCATACCAAGACCAAAGCCAGACCCACGCAGAGAGATCACATGCAGAGCCCCATGTGGAGAACCTCCAGGCAAGTAGTTAATGAGCCTTGTGAGCTCCTGGCCTGAGCTTCTGAGCCTTCCAGCTGCAGCCCCTGGAATCACAGAGCAGAGACAAACCATACTGCTATGCCCATCTGAAGGTCTCCTCCCCAGGATCTGTGAAAATGAGGGGCTGTTTTAGGCCACTAAGATGTGAGCCACAGAAACAGAAACTGGAAGATTGAGTAATCACAAAACTGCTCTCTCATTATATGCATACTCCAGAACTAACTAGCCTGGATAAAAAGATCTAATACAAACGAAAACGACATTTTGTAAGGTCTCTTAAAATCTATGGGAGATGCTGCCTAATTGGTTGCAGGGAGCTTATATAAATTTAAAATGAGACAATTCAAGAATTTCCAAAGGAAAGAGAAAGAAAACAAAACCCTTCTCATTATGTGTTGACTCTTAAATATTTTTCAAAGGAAAAAAATTTAACTGTGATTCTCATTAATGACCTTGGTTACTAGGTTACAAAATGAGAAGAAAAGCAAATCATTTACAGCTTTTAAACATAGCTTTAAAACTCTTTAAAAGTAATTTTATAAATATAGAAGAATATAATCTTTAAAAATCATACAGTGTCCTTGACAGATGGGTCAGTAGGCAAATTAGAATGAGTTGGTGATCTCATGTTAAATAGTTCATTCTTGCTTCCATCTAAGATAGGGGAAGCTTCCACAGCAATAATGAAAATATCAATAATGAACCAAAGTTTTAATTCTTTTTAGTTTTTCAAGTATCTGAGGTTGCAAGGCAATCAAGCCAAATTCCAAAGTGGGAGACCACCCGGAGAACTGTGCTACACCTATTATGACCTATCTCAGGCAGAGAACGGGGAAATGTGTGGCCACCGTTGGGTATGAAGGTGTCAGCTAAATTTTAGCAATAATTAAAAGCCAAGTCAAGGCTAGGATGCACATTTGGAATAGCCAGGGAACCCAGACTTCAGGGAGTTCGCACTCATTTGCAAGATCTTTGAGGATCAGGATCAGGCAGGAGACTGGAAAGCTCTCTCTCTGCCAAGGGAATGTGGAAGTGCAGGAAAAATCAGCCACTGGTGGACAGGCACAAAGCCTGTCCCACTTACCCAGGTTCTTCCCCGCTGTGCAGCAAAAGCCTAAGACACTGACAGAGGGGCGGCAAATACTCCCACCCACAGGCACAGGAGAAGGGTCTGCAACCTCTGGTCCCAAGGACACAGGGAAAGATGCATCGCAACTGTGAAGGGAACAGAAGAAAAACCTTCCCACTTCTGGGGGGAAGACAAGAAACCAGGGCCAAAGATCTTATAGCAATATCAAACAGAAGCCTGCTGCCACTGGGGGTGGTGGGTGGGAAAAACCTGCCTGTGAACAGCCACAGATTCAAGGCAGAATTTGGCTGCCGTGGGAAGAAAGAGGCAGGAAAGCTGGGAAAGCACCACATTGAAGTTCAGGATTTAAGAATGAGGTTGGGCCAGGACAACAAAGAACTCTGGCTACATACTCACGTACCATAAGCCTAGCACTGGGCAACAGCACAGACCCTCCACCCTGAAGGTCAGGCAAGAGTACCCAAAGGGCCCCTCCTGCACTGGCATCAGGAACGGCTAAGAGGCCAAGGAAGCAACAGGAACACAGAAAAACCATCCTGCATCCCAGTCCCCATCTAAGCTCAAGGTAGTAGCATCCCATCTTTAGAGAAATTTGAAGTTTTAGCAGCACCGAAGGTACCTGACAAAAGCAAATAACAAAATCCATACCCAGCTCAACTCGTAACTAGATTGACTCAGACTTGTCTATTGATGTCCAGTTACAACAGGCACAATAATTTGCTGATGTATTATTTATTTATCCCAGTCTGTACTATTTTATACAATATGTCTAGGATCCAACAAAAAATTACAATTTATCAAAGAGAAAGCAACCTAAAGTAATAAACAAAAATAGACTTGAGGACCTAGAGAGTTGAAACACGAAGACAGAAAACTAACAAAACTATTAATTAACCTCTTAATACATCTAAGCATGGACAGATGGAGAGTTTTGTTAGAGATGGAAATTATAAGAATGAACTACATAATATCACAGACAACAATGTTTTTCACAGACACATAGTTAGAATGAATATAGCTTTAGATAAATCAGAATACTTGAAACTATCCAAGCAGAAACTCAAAGAGAAAAAGTGACAAAAGTAAAATACAACGTTCAAGGACATCCACTGATGGCCCAACAGATATGTAACTGGAGTCACAGAAGGAAAAGGGAGAGAATAGGGCAGAAGGAATATTTTAATAGCCAAGAAGTTTAATAGCCAAGAATTTTGCAACAGTAGAAATAAAGAGTAAAATTCAGATTCAAGCATTTCAGAGGACCCAAGGCAGAATAAATACCAAAAAGGAAGAAATCAACACTAGTTTCACCATCGCCACCAGCAAAGGAAAACCACACACATCTACACACATTATAGCAAAACCGCCTGAAGCAGAAGTGAAAATAAATGCTTGAAGACAGTCAGAGAAAAGAGGGACTGTTACATGCTGAAGAGCAAAGATAAGTGCTGAAAGGAAAACAAAACAAAACAAAATCTGTCGCCTGGAATTCAGCAAAACAACTTTTCAGGGACAAAAATAGAATAAAAGTGTTCTGCTATGAAGTCAATCTAAGAAAAGTTGTTGCCCGCAGCTCCACTGTTTCAGAAAATGATAGCGGAAGCTCTTCCAGGGCTTCATTGGTTGAGCTCACACAGTCAGAGGCAGAATGGTCCCACAGCAGCTGTCTGCAGCCTAGAGAGCCAGGGAAACTGGCAGCTGCTCAGCAAAACAGGAAGCCTCTGAATGAGAAAGAGGCCAAGGATGTGGCCCCAGCCTGAGGCAGAAGGCCTGAAAGCCTTCAGAGGGAGCCTGGGACAAAGGACCTGGATTCTGCTGTTCATGGTCAGAGTCCTGGGAAAACGAACCTGCTCAAGAAGGACTGAGCATGCGTGAGGGTGAGCTCCCCCTCCTCCCTTTTGTTCCACCTAGGCCGTAACCTGTTGGGTGGTTCCTTCTCATCCAGGGGGCTCTTCCCACAGGGCAGTCTTCTCTGGAAACACCCAGAGATGCACCCAGATAGGTTTTACCAATCTCCTGGGCATCTTTCAGCTTGATATTCAAAATTAGCCATCGGTTTCTGTTTCAGTCTAACAAATTGCTAGAAATTCAGAAACTTACAAACAACGTAAGTATGGATAAGTATTCTGGATAAGTATTGTGGATAAATATTGTGGATAAGTATTCTGGGCGCTGCTTAGCAGGGCTCTCTGTTTCAGGATCTCACCAGGCTGCAATGCATGTGTCAGAGAAGCTGTGATCATTTCTGGATCTTGAGGTCTTCTTCCAAATTTACGGAGCAGTTAAAAATTCACATACTTGCTATTTCACATTATTTATTATACCTTTTAGTCCTAATTTACCCTTTCAGTTTTTCACATTAGAGAAACTATTCCGTATTTACATGTGTGTCCCATTTATTTCACTTAAGAGTATTGCCTCAATGTGTATCCATTTAGCTATGTCTCTAATTTCTCATTTTTTATGGCTGAGTAGTATTCCATTTTATTAAAAAAATTCACATACTTGCAGTCAGAGGATTGAAGGTCTCCGCTCTTGCAGGCCACCCACTGTCCCCTGAGATATTGCTCTCAACAGGCAGCTCATATCATGACAGCTTATTCTTCAGGGACCCCATGGTTAAGTGACATCCATCTGAAAGAAACTAGTGAGAGCCTGGAACTCCGTTTTCATCGAAATGGCATTGTTGAACTCCAGTGGGGAGCTGAGCTACACCTCTACCAGAACCTGCACTCTGGACCTAAACAGAAAAAGAATTTAAAAGGAAGAGAAAAACATTAAACAGGTTTCATAGCACAATACCCAAAATATCCAGAGTACAATAAAAAAACAATTCATCATGCCAAGAAACAAGGTCTTTCTCATTTAACAACCTGAATGGGAAAAATAATTAAAATGTGCCAACATTAAAATGACTCAGATATTGGAATTATCTGAAAAAGATTTTAAAGCAGTGATTATAACAGTGCTTTGGTAAGCAATTAGGAAAACTCTTAAAACAAATAAGAGAAAACCTCAGCAAATAAATAGAAGATATAAAAAGGAAGCAAGGAAAATTACATAACAAAGAGTACAATACAGTAACTGAAGTTAAAAACTCACTGGATGAGCTTGGCAATAAACTGGAGATTCATTGAACTCAAAAACAGATCGATGAAGGGGGAAAGAGACGAGAAGGAGGAAGAGGAGGAGGGAGGTGATAGTTGCCCAATGATGGGAATGTACTTAAAGCTGCTGAACAATGCTCCTAAAAATGGATAAATGATAACTCTTAGGGTTACGTACAGTTTACCACAATAAAACATTACAATCCTTAAGGTGCACGCCTGACAAGAGTTTCAAAGTGAATGAGGAAAAAATTGAGAAATACAGAGAGAAATATACACATTCTCCATGATGACTGGAAACTGCAACACTATTCTATTTTTCTATTTCAGTAATTGTTCTACTTACTGGTACATTTTAGATACACATAATGATCACATTCATCCTGGGGAATGTATACCTGTGCATGGTAGATCTTGCTGCTCGTTTTTCCCATTCTGCTCCCCTCCCTTCAACCCCTCTTCTACTCCTTATTTACAAAATCTTTGTCCCCATTTTTTCCTCTTATTCTCTTTTTTCGTGTCCTTTCTTTCCTTTCACCTCCCCCCTGCCTTGTTCCCTTTCTCATTTGAACATTTTCCTCCTGCTTCCCAATATCTATTATACATTTTGGTCCTTATTTTCATTCTTGGTTTCTCACACCAGAGAAACAATGCAGTATTTAAACATGTGTGTCTGACTTATCTCACTTAAGAGTATGATCTCAAGGTAAATCCATTTAGCTAGAAATATCTCAAGCTTATCCTTCTTTATGGGAGACTAGTACTCCATTGTAAAAAAAAAATCTTTATCCATTCATCAGGTGACAGGGATTTGGGCTGTTTCCAAGATTTAGCTATTACAAACTGCCTCTGTAATCATGGGTGTGCAACTATCACTGTGGTATGGTGCTTTTATTACCTTTGGGAAGATACTTAGAAGGGGAATAGCTGGGGTGAATGAGACTTCTAGTTTTAGGTTTTTGAGGAATCTCCACCGATTTCCACAGTGGTTGCACCAGTCTACACTCCCACCAGCAGTGGAGCAGGGTTCCTCTTTCCCCACAGCCCCACCAGCAGTTGTTATTGGTTGATTTCTTGATAGCAGCCATTCTTTCTGGAGTGAGATGGAATCTTGATGTTGTTTTAATTTGCATCTCTCTAATGACCAGTGATGTTGAACATTTTTTCATATATTTATTTGCCATTTACTTCATCTGAGAAGTATCTGTTCATTTCAGATGTCCATTTTCTGGGCTGAGTCTTTAAATTGGGGGGGATCTGATTTTTTTTAGTTCTTCACATGTTCTAGATATTAGTACCTTGTTTGTGGAAGAGCTGGCAAAAATTTTTTCCCATTCTGTGGGTTTTCTCTTCACTGTTGGTAGTTTTGTTTTTTTCTGTGCAAAAGTTTTTTAATAAGATGAGATCCCAATTGTTGATTCTTTGTCATATTTCCTGTGCAATTGGGGTTTTGCTCATAAAGTCTTTGCCTACACCAATGTCTTCAAGAGTTCTACCTATTCTATCTTCCAGCAGATTTGGTGTTTCTGCTTTAATATTTAGATCTTTGATCTGTTTTGATTTGAGTTTAGTACCTGGTGAGAGATATGGGTCTAATTTTAATTTTTGGCATGTGGAAAGCCAGTTTTTCTGGCACCATTTGTGAAGGAGGCTATCTTTCTTCCAGTGAAAGTGTTTGGCTCCTTTGTCAAACATAAGGTGGCTGAGTATGTTTGGAATTGTTTCTGCAGATTCTATTCTGTTCCACTGATCCTCAGGTCTGTTTTTGTTTTGTTTTGTTTTCCCAATACCGTGCTGTTTTTTTTCACAGTAGCTGTGCAGTATAATTTCAAGTCAGGGGTTGTGATGCACTTTGTCTTGCCTTTGTTGTCCAGAATTGCTTTTTCTATTCTAGGCCTCTTTCAAATGAATTTTAGGATTGTTTTATCTAATTCTGTGAGATATGTTGTTGGAATTTTGATTGGGATTGCATTAAACTGTGTAACAATTTTGGAAGTATGGCCATTTTCACTATATTGGTTCTGCCTACCCTTTCCATTTTCTGATATCCTCCTTGATCCCCTTTTTCAGAGTACTGTAGTTTTCCATATAAAGGTCTTTTACTTCCTTCATTAGATTCATAGGTATTTCATTTTTCTGGATGCTATTGTAGAAGGTATTGTTTCCCTAATTTCTCTCTCACTAAGTTTGTCATTTGTGTACAGGATGCTATTGATTTTTGAGCATTGACTTTGTATTCAGCTATGCTACTGAATTGGGTTATTAATTCTAGGAGTCTTTTGGTGGAGTTTTGGGGTTTTCTGTGTAGAGCATCACGTTGTCTGCAAATAATGATAATTTAACTTCTTTCTTCTTATCCTTATTCCTTTTTTCCTAATTTATCTGGCTAATATTTCCACGTCTATATTGAATAAGAGTGGTGACAGTGGACATCCTTGTCTTGTTCATGATTTTAGAGTGAAAGCTTTCAGTTTTTGTCCATTTAGAATGATGTTGGCTGTTGGTATGTCATAGATGGCTTTTATCAGATTGACATAAAGACCATATATTCCAATTTTCTGTGGGTTTTTAGCATGAATGGATGTTGACTTTGTCAAATGCTTTTTCTCCATCTATTGAGACAATCATATGGTTTTTGTCCATGGTTCTGTTAATATGGTGTAATAGATTTACTGATTTGCATATTTATTGATTTGTATGTTGAACCATCTCTGGATCCCTGGGGTGAATCCTACTTGGTCATGGTGTATAACCTTCCTGATGATTTGCTGCATTCTGTTTGCCAGTATCTTACTGAGGATTTTTGCATCTATGTTCTTTAGGGAGATTGGCCTGTAGTTCTCTTTTTTTGGTTGGATCCTTCTCTAGTTTTAGTATTAGGGTAATGGTTGCTTCTAGGAATGAATTTGGGAGTATTGTTTCCCTTTCAATTTCATTAAAGAGTTTGAGAAGTAGTGGCATTAGATCTTCTCTAAATTCCTTGTAGAATTCAGCAGCGAATCTGTTAGGGCCGGGCATTTTTGTTGGTAGGTTTTCAATTACATCTTCAATTTCATTGACTAATATTCGTTTATTTAGAATTTTTACATAATCTTGATTCAGTTTTGGTAATTCATATGTATCTAGGAATCTGTCCATTTGTTCTGTGTTTTCCATCTTTTCAGAATACAGGTTCTCAAAGTAGGTACTGATGATCTTCTGGATTTCTGCAGGATCTGTTGTGACTTCACCTTTACATTCCCAATTGCTTGGATTTGAGTCTTTACTTTCCTTTTTTTGATAAGACTGGCTAAGGGTTTGCCAATTTTATTTAATCTTTCAAATAACCAACTCTTCCCTTCATTCTTTACATTGTTTTCTTAAGTCTCCATTGCATTAATATCTGCTCTGACCTTTATAACTTTATCATATGAGCTTTGGGCTTAGCTTGCTCTTCTTTTTCTAGAAGCTTGAGGTTCAACATTAGGTTAACCTAATTATTTGAACTTGCTGTTTTTTTGCTATGGCAATTCATTGCTATAAATTTCCCTTGTAAGACTGCTTTCATTGTATTCCTTTAATTGTGGCATTTGCAGTGGCATTATTTAATTGTAGAACCTGTCTGATTTCTTCTTTAATTTCATCTGTGACCCACTGGTTTTTCAGGAGGGTGTTCTTTATTTTCCATGTGTTTATGAAGTTCTTGTGGTTTCTTTTGCCATTAATTTCCAATTTCACTGCACTAGGATCTGATAATATGCATGCGATAATTTCAATTTCATTGTACTTATTTAAGCATGTTCTATGTGATCTATTTTGAAGAACATTCTGTGTGCAGCTGAGAAGAATGTATATTCTGATGTTGTTCTGATGGAACACTGTAGACATGTAGCACTTTTCTGTCAGTAATTCATAGAATAAGTAGACAGAATATTTTCAAGGATCTAGAACTAAAGTATGCTATTAACCAACTTGATCTAATTGACATTTATAAAACACAATTACACACATTCCTTTCAAGTGCATATATAACATTTATCATGATGGACCTTGTTGAGCCATAAGCAAACCAAGCAATTTAAGAGACTTAAAATAATAAAATGTTATTCTTTGATCACAATGAAATTCAACCCAAAACTAATTACAAGAATATATCTTGAAAATCCTCATACATTTGGAAATTAAAAAGTACATTTTAAAATAACCCTTGGGTCCAAAAGGAAGTTAAAAGTGGAATTATAAAATATTTTTAATTATACACAACAGAATTTATGAGCTGTACCTCAAAAAGCTTAGAGGGACATTTATGGCATTAAATACTTAGATAAGAAAATGAGACGGCTGGGGATATATCTCAGCAGTAGAGTGCTTGCCTAGCATATGTGAAACCTTGTGTTCTATCTCCTGCATCAAAAACAAAACAAAACAGACAGAACCACCAATGAAACCACCATCACCACTACCACCACCACTACCACCACCGCCACCCCAAATCAAGAAAATGAGAGATGTCTCAAACCAATGACCAAAACTTCCACTCTAGGAAGCTAGGAGGTACAAGGGAGTACTGCCTGTTTGCTGTGTGCATTTTTTATGTCTACGGTTACAACCATAGTCTGGATATCGTCAGGGCCATTTTCCTGTTTTTTAGCATGAATTCACACTTGGTGCCTTATTAATATTTCTGTGAAATGAGTTCTTTGATTAGAAGCAATCTTGTTGAAACAGTGACTAAGACCAGGGAAGGGAAATCCATACCCATACTATGTGTCTCTCTCCGTGAGGACAAATTAATTTCCCCTCTGTGGTGGAAAGATTCAATGGAATCAATATCTTTGTACTTATATTTTTGTACATAAGAATATATTCTCCCAAAAAGAACTTATTTATTGCTGTGTCTGCAAAGCCTGGGAAGGATTTTCTCTGAACATTTTGGAAACTGTACCTTGAGTTCCACTCAATGTTCTGTGGTCAGATAGGAATGAACTGAGAAGCAGCTGGCCCGTATCTTACTGGAATATGTGGCCTCTGGTTTCTTTACAAAGATTGTAGTGTGTGTGCTGCTGAAGTGAGCACTCTTCACGCAGATCCTCTACTGTCTTGAACCAAGGTTTCCTTCTTTGGGTTACAGAGGATTTCAGGTCCTGTGAGGTTCATCTCAGGCTTTCTTTCTCTGGTTCAGCATGGAGCCTCGGTAGCCATCGGAGAACCTATCCTGGTTGTTCACTAGCCCTCTTTCACTGGTCTCATCCCAGCAATGCTTTTCATCCCTCAGCAGTAACAGGGAAAAGAGAAAGATATTATTCCCTTCCTCCCAATAAATCTATTTCTCTTGCCACTGAGAGCCCCTGAATTTTGCTGATTCACCAGGACCATTTGTGGGAGTAGTTTTGCTCACTGGAGCAATACTTTTTTTCTTCCCTTGCCATTTTTTGGACATTTTTAGCATTTGCTTGTCTGCTGCTAATATTTTTGCTTGCTTTTGAGTGAGTATGTGTGGGTGGGTGTGTGTGGGAGAAATATGTGCTGGTTTCTACTATACTGTGTTTGTGTCATTAACTATTTGAAAAGACAGATGCTATGATCCAGCTGCACCCTACCACTTTTTTAAAAATCTCAGCAGCACTTTTAGGTGATTAGCTTGCTCCTGGAGATTTCTCATTATTCATTCATCAGACAATCACTGTGCACCTCCTGGGTTCCAGTCAGGGCCCTCAAAGATGAACCACAGTAGAGAACCAGAGGTTGCCTGCCTTCACGGAGGCTCTTGGTAAATTATGTCTCTGTCTCTTTTGCAAACTTTCCTAATTTTTCAAAAAAAAAAAAACCAAAAAACCCAATATGTTTACAGAGATAATTCTAATGGTTCAAATCTAAGATGCCCTAGATTTTAAAATTAGCTTTCAGAGGCTGAGGGTGTAGCTCAGTGATAGAGCACTTGCCTACCTTGGTTTTGATCCTCAACACTGCAAACAAACAAAGCAAGCAAGCAAACAGTTATAATGTACAGCATCAGGACTTAGTCAACTCTCCATCTTTGAGACCAAATACTTGACATAAACAACGTAAAAGAAGGATTTATTTTAACTCACGGTTTCGGAGGTTTCAGTCCATAGTCAGCTGGTGCCATGGCAGGAACATCATGGTAGAAGGACCTGACAGAAGAAAGCTGTTCACTCTGTGACAGCCAGGAAGAGCCGGAGAGGAGGGTGGCAGAGATGGCCAACTCAAGTGATCTACTTCTTCCCACAGGCTCCACCTCCCAGGAGCCCCTTCAGTATGAACTCACCATCAGTGAATTAATCGCACACGACCCAATCACCTCGCTAGGCCTCACCTCTGAGCACTGCTGCCTTGGGGGTCAAGCCCTCCATCTATGAGTCTTTGGAGGACACCTCACATTTAAGCCATAACAAGGGCTATAAATACTACAAAAGGTACTATGTGTGATGAGGGAAATATTTTCTTAACTATAGGAATCATTTCACCACATCAAAACATTGTGTGCATCATTAGTACATAGAAAAAAATTTTAAGGGCTCAGTGGTAGAGACTTTGCCTAGCATGTGGAGGTCCTGAGTTCAATCCTCAGCACAAACAATAAATATAAATAAATGAAATTAAGTCATATACCCTCTACATTCTGTGACACTTGACAGTTAATTGAAAGTGCTCTCATTGAATATGTCATAGACATAGGGAAAGCTTCAGAGCAGGGATAAAGGATTCTCTTCATTTTGAGCTCTCTCAATATTGTATTTGAAAAGCTATAGCAGATAGAGCTCATTTTCTACTCACTGCTGACAGGGGGAAAAAAATCATTTGCAAATTCCTTAGCTGATGATACACCAAAAATAAATGCAGTTCTGGCATAAGATATAAAGCAAATCATGGTGAAGCAAAGTGGTGTGGCATAGAGAAGATATTTTTACATCTGAAAATCTTGAGGCATAAGATCTTTTAAAAATATCTTTTTATAAGCCCCATAAAACAGAATTGTTCCTCAGCGGTTTGCAGAAATCAGGATTAACATGGTGCTAGAGACAAGTATTTATCCAAAGCCAATTTCTGTACATTTCTACAGTGACCTTGACTCCAAGTCCCGGGAATTCTACACAACCTCTTTCAAACCTCCAAGACACTCAGGGTATTAACTTCCTCAGCATTATATGAGGGCGTCAGTGTGCAAGACATTGTGCTAGGGATGAAGAGAGATAAAAATAAATAACATAGCACCTTCCTGTGAGGAATGACTAGGGTAAATCCAAGAGTGCTGAGGAAGCAATGCAGAGACTGAAAGACGATATGAGAGATAGCACACCTCAGGGATAAATCCTGAGTATCCAGAGAAGCATCAGTAGAGGAAGGCTGGCCTATACTGTTCCCAGCCTGTGTGAAGAGGTTCTCTAACACCTCCTAATCAGAGCCCACAGCATATATGCTTGATATCTGTTCCCCACCCATCAAAACGTTCATGTCCAAATCTTAGGCCCCAAGATCTAGGAGACAATTAAGTCATAGTTGTGGAGACCTCATGAAGGAATTAATACCCTTATTAAAGAGGCCCCAGAGAGCCCCTCCCACTAACACCACACGAGGACACAGGCAATGTAAGGAAACAGGCACAGACTACAAACCTGACAGCACTTTGGGCTTCACAGCCTTTAAAACTGAGAAATAAATTTGTGTGTAAGCCATCCAGTTTATTCTGTTAGACCAGCCTAAATGGACTAAGACAGCATGGAAATAGAACCTAAAGGCCAGACCCAAACATAGCACTTTGCTGTCAGCAGAGGCCCATGGGATTTGTAGATTACCCTCACCCCCCTAAGTACCCTTTGAAAGTGTTTTATTTTGCGCTATTAGGGGCCATGCATCGTCTATTATTTGCGTGTTTAAACTGTATTTGAAAATCTCTTCATATATCCTACTAGTTGTCTTTGAGACCAGCTCCACCAAAAGGATTGGATCCCTAGTTGGCTTATGTTCCTTGGGTTCTAAAGGCTCCTACATATTAATTTTTTAGGGTTTAGGAACAATGTTCATGTCTCCTGTCGTGGATTCTTGAGAACCTCTGAGATTTCACTTTTCACACATTGCAGCTTCATATAACTTAGGCCGTAAAGATGGAGAAAGCTGCTACTTATTTCCTCCACAAGCAAAGTGCACAGCTAGTAACCTCCCCAACTCCATTCCCTGGCCCCTCTTGTGTGGGTACTCAACAGGGAAATAAATGTGTTTCTTCTACACAGAGCAAAGGTTACTAGTACAGTGAGGAAGTTACTATTATAGTTAGCAAAGGGACTTCTTGAAGGAAAAGTTCCTTATTTTTACTAGTGTTTGTAATGCATAGCGGCTACCTTCAGTTTGGGGGTTTGATTTATATACATAGTCTATCTTGACCATTTTTACTCCCTCTGCCCCCAGGGAAAATTCCTCTTCTAAAGAAATGGCTGTTCAACCAAGAGTCTTATGGCTAAAAGTGCTCATTTGCCCTTGAAAAGAAAGGCACACACACAATGGGCTACTCCCAGCCAGAACTACTGCCCATGCTCTGCAACAATTCTTGGGAAAAAACTTAAAGGAGCGGTTTTGAAAACAGCCAGAGAGCAAATGCTCTGGGGACGCGCCACCTAGCGACCACGGGCGGAACTGCTCTCCACCCTTTCCCTCCCTAAACACAGGGGCCTGCATGCTGAGCTTCCAAAAAAAGTCCAGTCTTCAGCAAGTTGCCATCAAAGCGACTTAATTCCCCTCTCAAGTAACCTGTAACTAGTAAATAATCTGGAAGCAAAAACAGGTTGGTCTCATGAGATTCCCAATACATTTTATAGTTTCCGGACCTGCTATGGTAGTAGCTATGTCTCCTGGCTATGAACACACCCAAGCTGTTTGAAAAGTAGTACTCGGATACTCAAATTTGAGAGGAAGAATGCTAAGAAATTTTAGACGTTTCAAAAGCAACTTTGAGTAAAATCCGTTTTGGATTGCTTTTCTGTCCAATTAAGGATCTACAACAGATCTGTACCAACTCAATTATTTATCACAATGAAACGTATTTTCCAACATTTGTGTTAATAAACCAGCCAATTATCACTCTATCTGTTGAAATCAAGTAATGTCCTGAGGAATATTTTACTTCTTAATAAAAAAGGTAACCTGCCAAATTAGTCAAGATAATTTTAATACAGAAACAGGTCTACAGTATTTCTTAAATTTGTATTTTATTAAAGTTTTCAGTACTCTTGCAAACTTTTATATTACTAACAAAATTCAAATCATGGCAACCAGACAGAAAAGTTGTGCATTTTACTTTATAAAGATGAGACTACACCACAAAGCTGATAGATGACGGAAGCATAGGGAGGTGACTCTATTCCGCTAACAGAATAAAAACCTGTCTCTACAGGCCCAGCTGAAAGGCTTTTCAAGGCAGATGGCAGGCAGACTAGAGATACAAGGGGCATGGTGTGACTTATACAATATCAATATAAAACTAATGTCATTGGAATTAGATGGACTTATAACCATGCAGAATTTGTCCTGGCTCTAAGTTATATTTTTTCACAGAAAAAAAATTTGAGCAAATAAAAACAAATTTCTGGTTAGCACAGTTCAGTGTTTCCTTTCTTTATTTTACCTTCATCAAGGCAAGCAAAGTACAGATACTGTACATTAAAAACATAAAAATACCTCACTCATAACACATCAGTTCCTACAGCCAAACACATGCTCTAAGCGCCGCTCCTCTTGGAAGCACATAGCCACAGCTAAATGTACAGAGAGCCATCTGCTGGGCCCACGTAGCCAACTGCAATCAGCAAGACGTCTAGCAGTGTCCATATCCCCAGGCCGCCGAAGCTGAAGAGCTTGCCCAGGCCTTCTCGCCACTGGCCCAGGTAGAAGCGGTCAGCTCCAAAGCCACCAAGGGTGATACTGCGAAGGCAAGGCGGAAGGGACTCCATCAGCACTGGAAACTGGCACAACCCCTAACGAGAACACTCACGGCAGACTCACCAAGTAAGTCACAACTCCAAATAACCACAGGCAAGAAGACTACTGCCAGAAGGAAACCTACGGCTTAGCATGTTCAATACCCAACATCAAAAAGGGTAAACATACAAGTGTTAGCTAGGCTGAAATTTGGTATTTTTTCCTCTTACAGAAAAATAACTGAGCGGGGTGAGGTGGCACATTCCTGTTATTACAGCACTTGGGAGGCCAAAGCAGGAGGACCACAAGTTCAAGGCCAGCCTGAGGAACTTAGTGAGACCTTGTCACAAAGAGAAGGCTGAGGATATGGTTCAGTGTGATGGGCCTGGGTTCAATCGAGAAATAGAGAAAGAGAAAGAGACGGGGTGGGGGGATCAATCTCAGTTTTTACTCCAAGCAGGGCCAGTCTGACAGAAAGTATGCGGCCTGCAGTCAGGAGCTGCAATCTAACACATTCAGCTGACTCAAATCAAGTGACCTCATTTGTCAGCCTTCTCTGAGGCTTTTGGTATAAATCAGCAACTTTTATGGTTCCCTCAAACTCTAAGATCTAACAATACTGGGACAATACCCCACATGTGGCCAACCCCACTGTGGACAGTATTCACCTGCCCGACCCCAACTGCAGAGCTGCCAGCCCTCCACACCTGGAGGGGGCCACGCATCACCGATCAACCAAGCGCGCAGAAAAGCCACCTGGGAAGATGAACTGCCTGTATCGATTATGTGCAGGCTTTTCTTCCTGTCCTTCCCTCAACAACACAGTACCACCGCCACTTACACAGCATCCACACTGCATTAGGTGCTGTAGGTCCTCTAGAGGTGACTTAGAGCCTGCAAGAGGTCATTGCAGGTTATACGCAAACACTATGTCACTTTACAGAAGGGCCTTGAGTAGCCAAGTGGGTCTGGAAAACAATACTCCAAAGATGACGAGGGACAAAGGTACTTTGCAGCAAAGCTTCAGACATTATCTCATTTATGGTATTTTGAAAGAAAGAACAGGGAGCTCTGAGAAGGAAACTGCTCTTTTTTTGGCGGGGGCGGGGACCAGATATCGAACTCAGGTCCTTGTGCTTGCGCAGCAGGTGGCGAAACCACTGAGCTAAATCCCCAGCCCAGCTGCTCTTAAGTTTTAAAAGTTGGCTGCTAAATGTACCACAGTAATGTAAGACATTAACAATGTAGGAGTATATAGGAACTCTCTAACATTCCTGTGACTTTTTCTAAAATTAATCGAAAGTAAGTTTTTTTTAAAAGTCAGTGGTTCATTTTAATCCGAACCATTGTAGACCAAGATCATATATGGCCAGTTACCAAATTTTATTCTGTTATATCTAATTTCCTATCTTGGATTCATCTTTAATTTCATTATACTTTCTGGCCAGAGAAGACGCTTCTTTCTCCAGCCCTAAGGCAGTGGTTCCCAACAAGGGACTACCTGCCCCCGACGCTGGCCATGTCTGGGGACATCCTGTGGTTACCCCTGAGGGTGGGAGAAGTCGCTGACCAGAAGTAACAGGCAGAGGCCAGCACCTGCTGAGCACTCCCCTATGCACAGGCCAGCCCCACGACAAACAATGTGCCCCAGATGTTACAGTGAGAAGGCTGAGGAGTCCTCCCCTATCTCACAGCGCACGACGGCAGGTGTCAGGTCTCAGGCTCTAGGACTTCAAATGTGGACAGCCTAACTTTTTAATTAACCATTTAACCAGGGTCCTGGCTGCCACTCTCTTCAGTGGGAAGAACTGATACACTGACTTTTAAAACTGTTGAAAAGTTTAGCATTACATGTACATTTTCACGTAAGGGTTACAGTGCCATACTTGTCAAGATGGCAAACTTACAGGTAATTTTAATGTTGTTCTTTATTTTTCCAGTTTTGAGCACTGAGCTCTTTTAAAAAAAATTTTTTTTTTTGCTACCGGGGATCGAACTTGGGTCCTTGCACTTGCGAGGCAGGTGGTGGAATCACTGAGCTAAATCCCCGGTCCATAAGCTCTTTTTTAAATAAGAAAGTTACTTGAAATTTAAAACATACAATTATAAACCTACACATTTTAAATAGTCTGAGGAATTCACTGATTCATGTAAGTTTAGGATGGCAAACCCTGGCTAGTTCTAACAGTCTATAACAATGACTCAAAGTCATCTCCAGAGGACCCAGGCATCCTGGGAGCAAAGCTAACATGCCTGTAGTTAAAACTCCACAAAGGGACTGGTCTGAGCATCTAACCTCCTGCAGCCATGTTTCCTAGAGTCTATCTAACACACATGGTAGGATCTGAGTGAACGATAATCCGGGCTGAGCATAATGTCTGGGAGATTCCACAGAACTCTAAATGGCATTTTTGACTTATTAGTACCAAAGCTTACCTTAGAGCCAGAGCAGTCGACCACTTATAGCCTCCAGTCCAATTGCAGTACAGCATTTTGGGAAAAGTACGGTTACCTTACAAAAAAGAAAAATGAAAACACTATGCATAGAAACATGGATACAGAAACACTGCCACAGAGACTTAATTTAACTAATGGCTTTGTAATTTAGAACATAAGAGGTCACCTCTCTTTACAGGAAGCAATGCTTACTACAGTTAATAGCACTTATCATCAATAAACATAGACTTAACATTTAAATCAGGGAAGTCAGGGTTACAGCTTGAAGGATGTGAAATGGCTTACCCGATATCAAGACTCGGTGAAGTTAAGAGTAAATAAAACAGTGTGGTGATGAGACAGATAAAACAACCAAGAGGAAGACTGCGCCCAGAACCAGAACCACACAAAACATCTTACCTATCACAGGGGTCACATACAGATGGATCGCAACAACTGGCTTATCCACGTTGCGTACCTCACACCATCTACCCAAACCAATTCCAGGTGGACTACAAACTTAGATGTAAAAGGCCAAATTTATAATTTTTAAAAGAAAATGCAGGAAATTATCTTTATAAACCTGGGTTGGAAAAGACTTAAACAAAAAAGGTTAACTATAAAAAGACTAACAACTTACACTACCTATATTTTTAAAGTTCCAATCATCATCAAAATATTCTCCAAAGAACGTGGAGAGGAAAAGTTAAAATTTGGGAAAGTTTTAGGGACACTTATGATTAAAATCAAAAGTATAAAAGAATCCCAGAAATCTTTAATAAAAAGATGAAGATAAAAGATATGGCCGAAATAATGTTTTACTGTTTGTGGGATGTAACTTAGGCCATTCTGGAAAACAATACCTGCAGGACAGTATACACTAGACACACCTGCACATGTGCAACTGGGCGCTGTGTACAGAAGTTTTAACAGTGGCTGCCAAGACTAAAAATAACAAATAATCTAAATACCTATGAGAATGGATAAACTGTGCTACAATCTTACAATAGATTATCCTACAGAAGTAAAAATAATAAATAGAAGAGTTCCAAGGATGAACCTCAGAGCCATAATGCTGAAAGGAAAGAAGAGTCTCAGACCACAGCCTGATGTCATTCTATACACAGCTAAAGCTTGCACTCCTGCATGGTGTATCACAGCATATTTTATTACATACACAACTTATTAGTATCAAAGCTTATCTTAGCATTAAGAAAAATTTAAAGAGGAAGTAGATGATAAAATTCAAAAGGTTACCTGAGAAGAATACAAAGCACTTAGCTGCAATAGTATTAGTACTGTACCACTCATTAATTTGAATAAAATCCAAATGCTGTTTTCGACCTTAGTCTTTGTTTTATCAACATTATATTTAATAAGTGCATATTTTCTGGACATTTTCTTTTAACCCATTGAATTTATTAATGAGGCTCACCTGCTGGTATTTTTCAGCAGAAATTTAAAATTTCTGGTTAAGGTCCCTTCAGTAAACTTGGAGAAAAATTATTTTTCTCCCAAACTTCCTTGAACTCCGACTTACCCAAGCAATGAATGTGGTCCCGCACTGTGCAGTTGGCAAGGTAGCGCTGCCGGGGGCAGGACACAGTCATGCAGCTGGTGGAATTGGTGCATTCGTAATCTGTTTCAGGAAGCTGCCAGCAAAATCTGCAAGTCATGTTGATGATGAAGTTCTTTTGGGGTTTGAAGTCTTGATCCTATGTTCCAAAGGACATGGGCTAATCAATCATAATATGGTATTTGTCATTATGTCAATAGACTATATAGTCATATGGTACAACATTTCTAAGACATTTGTATTTAGAATCTAGCAGTAAATGACAGAAAAACGGGTACCAAAACAGAAGGTATGTAAACAAATACATATGGCATGATCTATAATTCTAAAAATATACACTCAAATATATACAGTCCACATATGGGAAAAATTCTACACAAACTCACATTAAAATAGCAAGTTATTTCAGGGTGGTAACTTTCTTTTTGCTTAGCTAACTTTCTTATAATGAGGATGTGTACTTTTGTAATGTAGAAAAAAGGGGAAAAGTTACTTTATAAATCCTAGTCACATAGCTCGAAGGAACAGAAAAGTACACTTGCTGAAGGTCACTGAGCTACAGGTCGGGAGAACCCAGGTGCCCTGACCCCAGCCCGATCCTTCTGTAAGCAGAGCACACTGCCTCGCTTCTTCATTCCAATTCTTCTCCAGCTCTACCTAGCTGTGCAGCACCTCAGGGCTTGGAAAACCCACATAACAGGCAGTCTGAATTGCTACCTGTTAGGTAGTTCTTCTCATTTGGGCTGCCTGTTGGCTGACCATGCCAAGCGCTCCAGGGGTGGGAGCAGCAGTAAGAAGCCACTGGTGTGGACTCCCAGGAGATGAGAGGGAAGATCTGGAACTTGAAAGCAAGCCAGTGCACTCTGCTTAGAGGCATCAGGCTGGGGTCAGGGAACCTAGACTCTCCTCCCACCTTGCACCTTGGTGACCCTCAACAAAGGTAATTGTCTGTTCCTCCCAAGTATACTTCTACCTGGAATTAATTTTGGACAAGGCAGGGACTGACTTCCTTTTTTTCCAGAGAGCCACCCAGACATTCCAGCATTGACTGAACCCATCTTCCCACCAGTGAGAAGACTGACCCCATCACAAACTCATCCACAGTATGAAGACCTTACCAGCCCCTCTGTACACCATCCCTCACTACTAAGAACCCATCTGAAGGAAGGACACCTGCTTCAGGTACACTGAGATGTCCAAGTTCTACAAAGCAGCATTTCTGTCACACACATATATGCAGCCCACACCAAAAGAGCTTGTCAGTTACCATTGTGAGTGAAACAGCAGCAATCTGATGTGGAAAGGAATGAAGGATATTAAAATTTATTTTGCTTTATGTCTTACAGGGCAGTTACAATATAAAAATTATTTCAGAATCTTGTCCACAAGACTAAACTTTTTTTTGTAGTGTTTCGGTTTGAACACAGGATACTTCACTGCATTCATTGCTGAGCTACATCCCACTCCCTAAACTGCACTTTTAACTTGAGATTTACAATGCACTGATTCAGATTAGCAAGCTACAGTACTTACAACACAAGTAACGGAAGGCTTCACTGTACAATCAAAAGTGACAGGCTTCCCATAGACACAGGAGAAATTTGTCGCGCAGTCTATACAGTCTGCAGGGAGTCTGCTACACAAACCATTGCTTGGACACTTCATCATGTAAGGTGGGATTTCGGTACTTTCTGTGAGAGGTGAGAGAGTGGCTTATTCTTTTTTAATACTAATCAGAGTAACAGAGGAAGACAATTTTCTAAGGTGAAGAGATGATCATTATCATTGAGACACTGTGCTGTGTTGGAATGCAAAAAGCAAAGTTGGGAGTCAGCGGCACAGGCAACTACAATTAAAGCAGGGCCTGACACCAGCCAACTCTGTGCCCTGTGAGCAGCACACTGGTAAAAGGTATTTCACTCCTGCCTTGCAAGTGGTCATGAAGACTAAAGGCGCTCATGTGCAAATAATGTGCAGAAAATATTGGGTATAAGGTAGTAGCTCAAACACCTGACCATTTATAAGATGAAAAACTTAAACCTTAGACTCAAGAGGGTTTATGAAAAATTCCATAGAGTCTGGTAAACCTGGAACCTAAACTCAAACCCCTCCATTTCCAGTCCGGTGTTCTTTTCATGAGTTCACTGATTGGGAAATGAGGCCACTGACAGCCTGCGCACAGATCCTTGAAAACACTCTCTGCCACCACTCCACACTGGTACTTCAATATGCCAGTCTGCTAATTTACACTTTTACACTACCAAAGTTCCAAAATTCCCTATTTTAATAATTTGTTTAGTAAGTTTCAACTTTATTCCAGCCAGTCCTGCCAGGTATGCAATATATTTTTAACAGTTGAGAGGATAAAAATTGCAAGTATTATTGAGAAGGAAGATGGGCTTTTAAAAAAACCTAGGATTTTTATACTTTCTCTGAAAACTATGCATCTTAAATTCAAGTATGTCACCGTTTTTTACAACCAAATAATAGGTAAAATACCTCTGCCCATAGTAAGTCACTGAAACAATGGAACTCTAAAGGGATGAAACCACAGAGCCAAAGTTTCCATTTATTAAACGCTGATGTACTAAGTGGTCAGTTTTACAAAATACCACTCTTTTTTCTACTGTTATTGTCACTACACAGCTGAATCTGGACACCTAAAGACTCCCAAAGCTGAAATGGCTTTCGGCAGCCACACTAACCTTACTGCCTTAAAGAAACAAAGACCCAAGAAGGGTGACTAATTTCCTCAATCTCTCAACAGCACCCTGAGTCCTAGGCTCCAAGGGTCTATCAGTCCATCTCCCATCGTCCCAATGCATACAGTATTGTCGGAGCCTTTTAGCTTCAACACCATGAAAAGGATTCTAGAAATATAAGAAATTTTGTGAAGGCAAAGCAGGATTGATTAAAGGATATCTTGATGGAGTAAGTGAGAAAACAACAGAAACAAGGAGACAAACATAAGGCGCAGGAGACTGGAGGCAGGGATGTCAAAAAGTAGTCAAATACCAAAACTGGAGACGGCTATTACCTGCGCTTAATTCACATAACCTAAGAAACAATACATAAAAAATAAAAAATGAAGTAAATTTTGTATACTAAAAGAAAATGTTCAAATCAAAAACAGAAACTACTTGAGGTAAATATGCACATTTACTAGAATGGAAAATGTCTAGTACCTGCTGCCCTGGGAACTACTGTGAATGTGCGTGTTGGGCCCGGATCCTTTACTGCCTGAGTCAGCGGCTGCGAGTGCTCTAAATTTAAGGATCCACAGTTAGAGAAACACGTTGGCCCGGGTGTGGAAGCCTTGGCTGCGGCTGACACGCAGGGACCACACCAAGCCACGACCCTCGTGACAACCTCCGGGCTTGACTGCCCAAAGACAGGAAGCTAAGAGGAGGAAACGCCAACAGGGCTGACACTGGTTCGGGTCTCCGGGCAACTGGGGGACACAGGGTGGTACCAGGTCCAGTTCCGCTGCCCGGGCCGAGTCCTGAGCGCTTGCTCCCCTTCGGCCAGGATTCGGCTCCACCGTCAGCTCTGGGCCCGGCGCAGACCTTCCTACGGCTCGGGGACCCTCTTACCACTTAGCCCGCAGTAGCCCCCGGCCTTTAACTCACCACCACCCGACAAAATGTAGAACTGGGAGAGGAAGAGCAGCAACCGGCATAGGTGGCGGAGGCCCCGCGGCGGCCCCGCTGCAGCCGCCATCTTGCCGGCGCCCGCACTTCCGGGGCGTGGCCGAGGAGCGCGGGCACACTGCGGCTGCGGGAGTCCCCCGGGCGCTTGGGGGGGGGGTCCTCTCTTCCGCCGGAAGTAAGCGGTTGGTGGTGGCGCCCCGACACCGAGAGCCTGCTCTCACCGCCTGCGCCCCTCCTCTTCTCACTTGGAGCCTGGGAAAAAATGACCTCGGGACCAGAATTCACACCTGAGGCGACTGAAAGCGGAAGCAGTCCTTTGGGAAGGTGCCGCCCTCGCATGGGCGTATGTACGAGTTTAGAGATAAAAGTTCCTACGCTGTTGCAGGTCCTGTACGAAGGTTCTGACGACATGATTACATTTTGTACTTACTTACAGATGAGGAAAATGGCCCAACGGCGGAGGAAAGAGCAGCCCCATGGTGACAGGAGTCCAAGGGACCCAACCCTCCCGGATCCGGGCGCCCAGCCAGCCCTAGGTGTGTCACCCTGGGCAAGTCTTTGGGGATGCTTGCTACTTAGAGCAAATTCCTCTTAAGACTGGGAAGAGCAGAACAGCCCGGAGGGACTGGGACAAGAGCTCAGAGTGTGAGATTTTCACGTGGAAGGAGGGTCCACGCACAGCCCTGTGGAGAACGCTTGCTTGTACACATCCCAGGGCACTTCGCGGGGTGCAGCTAACATGCTTGGCTTTCTCCGTCCATCTGCCACAAGGTCATTCACTTGGGGTCTTCAGATTCCCCTCGTCCTCATTTGCATGTTTGATGAATGAAAAAAATACATGGAATGGTGCTTGCGCAGGAAAAGCCCCAGATAAACGTTAGCTTAAAAATTGTATCATGATCTCACTTCATGCTTCTACACAGGTCTGATAATGATAGTTCTGTTGACCATTTATTCACATCCCCCAGGAAACACCAGTATATTGAAAAGAGATAGTTTTTGCATTTATTTTAAATTCTGCAGCACCTTGCCAAACATTCAATAAATATTAAATATTCAAATAGATTGATAACTAAATTCTTTATTCACCAAAAGCCATTTTAATTATGTTCTGAGCAAGTAAGGTATACTTTTTAGTTAAAATCAGAAATCATTTGAGTCCATATATCAGTAAACTGTCATCCCATCAAAAAAATCATTTAACTTACTATATATAAGGCCATGACTGAAACACTGGAAACACCATTATGCATTTTATTTGGGTATTTATTTTCTCTAAAGATGAGTAAGAATTATGAATTAGAAGCATTAAGACTGCAACTTTTAACCTACAGTGCAAATAAAAGATTCCATGACTGAATTTCTCTTAAGGTTCAGAGTCTTTTGTCAGGAGCCCAATATTTAGTACTAGTTTTTTCTTACAGTTGCTGCTTAGTTGAAACAAATTAATGATTCCAATTTGGGAAATAAAGTTTCAGTGTGAACTTTAGTAATAAACAGCCATAAAAATACTTGAGACATAATCTTATTGGAAAATAAGATTTTTTCCATATTCAAAACAGCTTTGAAGACTTTTATTTGAACCCTTTTTACTTATTTATTCATTCATTTTTGCAATGCTGGGGATTGAACCCAGGGCCTCATCTGTTCAAGGCAAGTGCTCTACCACTAGCTACAACCCCAGCTCTGAAGCGTATTTTTTGAAATTCACAAATCTTAGCAATAACTTTTTATAATTTTCATTTCCCAGTGTTTCCTTCTTTCAATGAGTAACATTTCATCAAGGTCACTGAAGACATTATTGGAAAATGTCCAAAGCTGCTCCTCTTATCCCTGTCAGAAAACATTAATGAATTAAACATTATACATATCTACTCATTCAGTTTTCCTTTGTCACCTGACCCCATAATAAGTGAAACCATCAGTGGGTAGAAAGTTCTCAGAAGTACTAACATGTTAACTGTTTAAGAAAAAATACATTTTTCAAAGGTCAAAACAAGAAGCATGTACAAGGAAATTTCTTCAAAACCTTTCCTCAGCATTTAGCGTACGTGATTTCTTGAGATTCTTCAATTTATCAATGGCAGAAGTTACTGAAATCTCTCCATGAATTTTGTTGTCTCTTGTTCGAACATTTACAGCATTATTTATCTTTTCCTTTTCTCCAACCACTACAGAAAAAGGGAAAAAAGGATATTTTAAACCAGTGATTTATTAACCACCAAGTCAAGAGTTGCATGACACATGGCTGAGTTTTTCCTCAATAGTAATCACTAAATATAAATCTAATGACCACTAGGTTCTTCTGAGAGTTAAGAGTCCTGAGAAGGAACAACTTCTAATCCAGTCTGAATTGTCCATTTGAGAGAATGGTATTACGGCCTTTGGGCACAAATGAGACCTCATACAGACACTCGGCTCCACCTGTCATAGCTGAGAAGTCAAAAGATAGACATTACATTCATGCCAACCAGCCAATGAGAATTTCCTGGAATGTGGAGAAAACAGCTTGTTCTCTCTAGTGATCCAGGAACCTGCAGCCATGTTTACTGCCTGATGGAAGGAAGAAACTGGTCCACAGATAAGTGGAATAAAGTAGATATTCAAGAAAAGTATAAAGGACTAGAGCAAAACAAGAACCATAAATGTGGAGAAACTGTTCTTGTAAGCTCCTGATAGCTCCCAGTTACTCTTCCAATGATTTGCCTATTTAATTCCACCTTTCACATCATAGGACCCTACAATACCTTTCCAATAAATTCTGTCTAAGCTAATTTGAGATTTCTGTCACTACAACAAGCCTGATTGAAACATCAGAGTACATGCCATAGAGTCAGATATCAGTGGACAACTGCTGACAGGACAATTCTATGCATATTTAGGTTTGCTTTTGATAGTCTCTTACTGGAAATATCAGTGTCATGCCTGCAAGCATATCAGCGTCAGTTTCTCTTGATTTCAAAATCATTTTTAAACTCAAAATTGTAGATTCTGTATCCAATGACTCATGTGCCTGTGGGACATTTTAGTTTTTTACATATTTTTTCCCTTTTATCATTTTAAATGTTGGATCTTTTCCACTCATTCATTTAATCCCCAAGATTTCTAATAAACTTGAAAAGCAAGGGAAAGTATTTCAGGCCTGCCATATGACTGAAGCAGAAGGAATGTAATTCTACTGAAGAGATTATTTTCAAATTCTTTTCGTTTTGGTTTGAGATGTTAACTGTTGTGATACCACACCATAGGATTCATGTGAAAGTTTACAGCTTTTCTTCCAGCAAATAACAAAGAGCACATAAGAACAGCTAAACCAGGACTTGTCTTTGTAAGCTGTTAATAGATTGTGATTATCAAGTAGTGATTATCAAGTATTATACCATATTACTTATTTTGCTTTTTTGGAATTAAAGCCAAACAATAAGCATTGAAAAAATATATTAAATTACCCAAAATAAAATTATACTGAGCCAGCTGGGCATTTCTTATTTTCTTATTTAGTGTACAACTGTCATCTAAATCAACATCAGCCATAAATCCTTCTTCAAAAAATTCATTGGATACCTAGAAGAAATGGAATACTTGCATTATTTGTTAGCCAGACTCAGAACAATCCTCATTGCTCCCCATCTACTGTTATTCACAACTCTGTGTTGCTCCCTCCACCTTGTACCAGCATTGGTCTCTGCAACCCACAGTGAAGGGGAAAAGTGATGGATATCGTTTCTGAGACTAGGGTGTAAAACAACAGCTTCCATTTCTACAGATCACTCACTCTGGGGGAAGGCAGCTACCATGTGGTGAGGACACTCAAGCAGCCTAGCAAAAAGCTCAAAGGTGAGGAGTGGAGGTGTGTATGAGTGAGCCCCCAGGGCCTCTGTAGCCTGCTGGCAGCTGACCACAGCCTCAGGAGACACTGCATCACGGTCAACCAACTAAACCGCTCCCGGACTCCTGATGCACAGAAACTGTGAGATAATATCTGTTGCTTTAAGCTGCTAAGTTTTAGAGTAATTTGTTACACAGTAACAGGTAATAACGTGAAAAAAACACTTTAATCATGATGTAATGGCTTGTGTCTAGATGTCCCCCCAAAGCCTCAATTGGTCATAGATAGAGTTTTTTGGAGACGGCTAGATCTAGGATATGTGATGCTGGGATCAAGGATGTGATACAAGGATTAAGGCTGCCCCACACTGGATGTGAGTGCTATCCATGCTAAGGGTGGGTAGCCTGGATAGCATATAAGAGACAGATAGAGGGTCCCAGCTTGTTGCTGCTTTGCTGTCTTCTGCCCACCATGAACTGTTTCTCCTCTGTGATGCCCCTTTGGCATACCACCCTGCCTTGGAGCCAGCCAATTATGGGCTGAAATATCTACAAACTGTGAGCTAAATAAACTTTTCCTCCTTTAACTTTGGGTGTTAGTATTTTGTCTCTGCAATGAGAAAAGTGACTTAAGATGTATGAAATGTTTCAAAATAACCAGTTTCTTGCCTGGGGGGATTTGGCTGTAATCCCAGGAGAACTGAGGCAGCAGGATCATCAAAAGTTTGAGGCCAACCTGGGCTATACAATGAGTTTAAGGCCAGCCTGAACTACATACTGAGACCCTGTCTCAAACAAAACAAAATAAACAAAATATCAGTTTCTTGAAAACATTAAAAATAAAACAATCCCAATACAGCTATGTAGACAGGATTTATGTGTTATTTTCAATTACTGAAAATATGGCTTAAATTAATGTGTCAATTATGCGGTATTTAAAAGTATGAATAACATTCCAAGTCAATGACCTACATAGAACACAAAATAAAGTTGCATGTATTTTAAATATATCTGATTTTACCTGAAGTGCATATTCTTCACAAGTTGGCCCCACAGGGATGACCATTATCTGACGTGGAGACAGCCAGAAAGGCCTGAAAAATATATAAAATATGCCTTTTCAAAATCATTTCAGAATGACCACTTACTATGTGATTAAAAAATAACCAAGGGGTTTTTTTTCCAGTAAGACTTTATAACAGTAGTTTGAGTAGAATGGTGTAGAAGCAAACCAAATTATATTAAGAGTTAAAAGGTAGTGCAGTAGACAAAAGGAGAAGTTTGCAATCTTTATAGAAAAGGAAAGGGAAGCCTGTCCTAGAGCACATGATGGAAGGGTAATCATGAACTTACACTCTTGGGCATTTATCCTAGAGATGCAGCCTTGGGTCATACAGATACTGTACACCAATATCCACAGAAGCTTTATTTACAGTAGCCTACACTGAAAACACCAAATGTCCTACAGCAGATGAATGGCCAAACTGTAGTACCATCGGCAATCAAAATGAACCAATTATTAGGCATAATGCCTGTAATTCCAGCCTCAAGGGTCCATCTTTCTTTCATTCACTGAATGAAAAATGCCCATCTCAAACTATTGTATACTATGTGATTCCACTTATGTACCACTTATGATAGAATTATAGAGATAGAGAACAGATTCACAGTGGCCAGATTAGGGGGCGGGAGTGGGACAGAGCCTGTGGGGCAATAAAAGGACAGCATGAGGGGACAATGCAGATAACAGTTTGCATCTTGTAGGTGACAGTTATCTGATACGCACATGTGATAAAACCTTACAGAACTAAATACACACATGCACAAATAAGTGCAACCTGGTAAAACTGGTGAGATCTGAAGAAAAGTTGATAATCACATCAATGTTTATTTCCTAGCTGTGATACTTTTATATAATTCTGCAAGATCTTACTATTGGGGAAAACTGGGATAAGGGTAGTCTGATCCTCTCTCTATTATTTCTTACAACTACATGTGAACCTGTGCTTATGCCAAAATATAATGTATTCAAAACATATAGAGGGTGAGTAGAAAGAATGTTTGATATAGGACATATTTGGCATTTTCTTCATCAAGAGAATTGAGTTTGAAGGTCAGAGGGAGTAAAATAGGGACTATTTCCAGATGGTACTTTATGAATACATATTTATATACTTTCCTTAAATTTTAGAAACAAGATAATATGTGAAACTTTGATGCATGAAGCATGGCGAGTATCCCTGAGTCCCTCAAAAGAGGATGGTCCCCTCTATGCACTGGCTTTCCCACTCCATCTCCTGATTCCACAAATTCTCTTTAGTTTTTGTGACCTTCACCAGTACCAGACTAGTAAGACAACACCACTCTCACTTTATTTAAAACACAAAAAGAATTATCTTCTAATCAGTGTAGATATACTGATATGGATAAGGGCTGGCAACTTGTCATGGGATCTGCCAGGGGATTAGTAAAGTCCAGTTCTGGGTGTGTCTGGTGGGTCATAAAGACATGACCTTGGGGTCCATATCTAATCCTTTACCCTTCTCTCTGGTATTGTTCTCTCTGCTCTGCTTCCTGGATGCCATGAACTAAGCAGCCCTGCCCTTCCACCATGATGTTCCTGCCATGGGGCCGCTGACCATTGACTGAATCTTTTGAAACTGAGCCAAATAAACCTCTCCTCAAATTGTGGTACCAGGTAATCTGACCCAGCAATGGCAAAGCTGACTAATTCTCTTAGGTAGCATATATACTCATGCCTTTACTTTTAGCTTCTGTGTAACTGTAATGGCTTAGATATTACAGGATACCACAGTATATTTTCAAGATCTCAATGATTAGGGATATATGCAGACTCTACTTGCTTCTACATTTAAAAGATCCTCAGTTTGTAAAATTCCCCATCATATGTTTACTGCTAAGAAATTTGCTTCTGTGAGTGCTAGAATGCATCCATGGACTTCAGATTCTGCCAGTCAGCTGTGCAAGGATGGCATGCTGATTTGGGACAGAGTGGCACACAGGAGAAGAAACCAGGTGGAATCCATTCTGACAAGGGTGATGCAAAAACAGAGTTTTGGGAGGAATCTCTGACGGTGACCTGAGCAGACACCCATGCCCAGTGTCTAGAGCAGGAGCTACAGATACTGTGCCTAGCAACAGTAGCAGTAGGGGCAGTAGATCTTGAAGAGAGAACTGAACTTCATTAGCAGATGCTCTGTCAATTTTGTAATTGTAAGAAATTAGATGACACTGGGTGTGTGATTTGCCAGCTGGTACTGTAACTGCTAATGAGGCCAGCTGCTTCTCATGCACCAGGACAGTAGTGAGTCCAATAATGTTGGCATACTGCCTTACTTCTCAAAGGAGGAGTACAGTGATGGAACTTGGTGAGGGAACTTCCATTCGGTGAGCCTATGCATGTCTCCCTGTGGTCATTTTATTCATTTATTCTGCTGTGGTCATCAGTAGAGGTCCTGTTGTACCTGAACAGTAAAAATCTCAACAATAAAGGCATTTAGTGGGCAATATCATTTGGATGGTTTAGGTATAAAATATTCCCTAAAAGTCTCATGTAGTCAGAGGTGGGGCGTCTTAAGGTAACTGCATTGGGATTCTCACTATACTCATCAGTGCATAAGTCCACTGATGAGTTCATGGCTAAAATGTGCTATTAGAAGGTGGGGCCTGGTTGGGGCTGAGTTATGGGACGTAACCTGAAAGGGTGTGTTCTTGTCTCCACTTCCTCCCTTCTTTGTTTCCTGTCTATATGATGTGAGCAGCTTTCCTCTGCCATGTCCTTCCACCATGGTGCTTCTGCCTTGAAGTCAGCCAGCCATAGACTGAATCCCCTAAGCCATGGGCCAAATTAAACCTCTCCTCCTTTAACATGTGGGTGTCAGGTGTTAAGTCTTAGTGATGGGACAGCTGATTAAAATAACCACTGTTGTGGCCCAATGTGAGCAATCACCCATATTTCTCCTCCCCAAATCTGTCACCTATATTTCCAATCTAATTACTTCTCAGTCTCTGGCCTTGTGTCCAAAGCAGTAACCAGGACTGGGGATTTAGCTCAGTGGTTTCGCTGCCTGCTGTGCAAGCGCAAGGACCCAAGTTCGATCCTTGGTACCAAAAAAATTTAAAAAAGAAAAAGAAAAAAGAAAACAAAGCAGTAATCAGAGCCCTGCATCAGTGTAGCTCCATAAGTCTGACCAGTTTTCTTCCAAGCAAAGGGGACTGCAAGATGCATCACTCCACATTCTACAGAGAAAGCATTTCCCTTCCCCGCTGTCATCCTTAGATAGGGCTGTGCTGCTACAGTCGTCCTCTCCAAGTCTCTGCTACTGTGTTCTTCAGGCCATTCACAGAGCAGGTTTACATGTTTTCTTTCTCAGTCAATGGCCACAGGAAACTCACACATGTAGACATGGGTCACAGACGATGATGGTGCAGCAAGGGGCAGTACCCCAGGAAAATGAACATAGGTTTTCCAGGCAGCCACTGGATCTTCAAAGGCTTCAAACAGGTGCAAAGATAATCTCTGAAATGACTGAGTTCCCCAAAGGGCAAATAGTACAGTTTTATGCCACTCTGCCTTTGTTTTCTTTGTTTCTGTTTTCTGATCTGGTAAATGAATTCTTTATTTGCTCTAATATAAAGCAGGAGCTTCCAATTTTTCCTACCAATTTAATCTTGATAAACATCATTTTTAAGAATACGAGACATCTGGCTTTTCTTTCCCATTATCACTTACCATTTCCCCCCATAGTTTTCTGAAAGAATGGCGATCATCCTTTCTACTGATCCCAGTATGGCTCGGTGAATGATCATGGGTCTCTTTTTATCATCCCCATCCTTACTAAAAAATAAAAATTATACATTTCAGTATTTTCCTAAGAAATAATTTTATTGTCTTTTTATATTTTATTTAAATTTTTTTGAGACAAGGTCTTGCTATGTAGTCCAGGCTGACCTTGAACTCAATCCTCTCAAAGGCTGGGATTACAGGCATGCGCCACCACACCCAGCTTCTTTATATTCATCTTTGACTAGAGTTAGTGTTTCTGAATACTTCTCCATTCACATTACTGGTGGCTGTTTTGTTTCCTCAAACAAAAGATTGCTTTGGTAGCTTCTTCATTTATTTTTTAAAATTTATCAGAGAACACTGAAAACAAACAAAAGATTAGACAGCAGTATTATGAGCTCCCACATACACTCTCAGCTTCATAAAATGTCCACTCACAACCAAGCTTGTCTGATCCAATACACCCTAATTCCTGCCACTACCCTGACCCCTCTAAACCTCATTTTTCCAAATGTTCTTGATATTTGTTCTAAAGGTCATTGGTTGGCCTCTGGGCCTTGGGTGGGAAGAAAAGAAGAGCCAGTCATTAAACGGGCCCTTGGCTGGCTATATCTAAAAAAAAAAAGAAGTCATTGGTCAAATTCTGTTTGCAGACCTGAAACTCTCAAGACACGTACTTTACATTTAATGACTTCCTCTCCTTTAGGAGAAAAACAAGTGAAAAAAGCACATTATGACCTTTAATTGTAATGAAATAAGCCACTCCCAAGAAAATCTATGCACAAGTTTCCTGGGAAGATAAAATCCATTTTATTGGAACAAGTATATGTTCATATGAGAAATTTTTATCTAAAATTCACACCAGCTAGGTACTACTAAAGCACAAAATAAAGAGAGACTTATTTGTGAAGTTCACTTCAAATGAGTTGCAATTGGCTATTATCACTGTCTATCATTTTTGCTAAGGGGAGATAGTAGACACATTAAGATACTATCTTGAGATACTACTGCTGCTTTCTGATAAATGTTATTTACCATAATAAATTTCTTTCTTCCCACTTCACAGAAATGAATGTTAAACTTTACCTGATGCTTTTCTGCAAGGTTGAATGCAATGAATACAGTTATACACATCTCCATGGTAAACCACCTTTTCTTTCTTAGAATAACCCTTATTGGAGCATGGTACTAACCTTGATGCTTCTCTCTTCCCTAAGCCTGTACAAATCCCAACAGTCCTTCCTCCAAAATATACCCTAAACACCCCCACTCTGTTCATCTCCACTACTGCTCTCTGGTTTTAATCATCATAATTTCTGACCTATCTACTGCCCACTGCTTCTACTGCTCTGCTCTTCTCCACACACACACTGAGGATAGCGGGCTGCTTGGGCGGGCTGTTTCTCCTCCACATCCTCCTTGGATGAAAAGTGGTTATTCATTTATCGTAAGAATCTTAATAGGAAAATATCCTACCAAAAATTACTGGATTTGAAATATGCCAATAATTTTTCCTTTTTTCCCCAAAAGGAAACGTACAGCACTGGATGGTTTCCATGACAAATTCTACCAAATATCAGAAAAAGAAATAGCATCAAGTCTATATAATCTTTTCTAGAAAACAGAACAGTGTGGAATACTTTCCAACTTGTTTTATGAGGCCTGGATTCTCAGACACTAAAATGAGGAAAAAAATGGTACTAGAAGGTGGGGATTTAGCTCAGTGGCACCGTGCCTGCCTCACAAGTGCAAGGTTCTGAGTTCGATCCCCAGTACCAAAAAAATTAAATTAAAAATTTAAAAAATGGTACTAGAAAGAAAACTACAGACCAATATCCTACAATCACATACAGTGTCCTAACATACTCCAACAGTACACATCAAACATTCTTAACAAGCTATTAGGGCAGTGAATCCAGTAACATGCACAATGACATACCATGATCAAGTAGGTTTTATCCCAGCAACGCAAGGCTTGTTAAATATTCTAAATCAATGCAATCTACCATATTAACAGACTACAGAATAAAAATCATATGGCCATATCAATTGATGCAGAAAAATAATTTAACAAAATTCAACACGTTTCTGATAAGAACTTTTGGAAAACTAGAAATACAGGGGAAATTCTTTAATTTGATAGAGGACATCTACAACAGACCTGTAGATCCCAGTGTACATAAAGTAATACTCCTAAGACTGGAAGCAAGGCCACAGTGCCTGCTCTCATCCCTCTTACTCAACAGTATTGGATATTCTGGCCAGTACCGTACAGCAAGGGAAAGCAAACAATGCAAGCAGAAATGAAGGGTTCAACGGTCCCTACTGCGGTGGCATGCTTGTCTACAGTGATGGAGAGCCCCAAGAATCCCCCTACCACCAAAAAAACCCTTTGTAGAATAATAAATGAGTTCGGCAAAGTCCTAGGATACAAGATCAACGTACAAAACTCTGCTGTATTTCTCTATAGTAGCAATGGACATATGGATTAAAAAAATTAAGAATACAACACTTAGAATCACTCTCAAGAATTGAAACACCTGGATATTTTACATCTACATCTATTTCAACATTTAAGATGATGTGAACAAGACCTCTATTTTGAAATCTAGAGAAACTGAGCAAAAAAATTAAAGAAGGACATGGATTAGAGTACTTCATTTAGTTCAGATACCCAAACTGATCGGTATTGACGAGGGGTTAATCAGTGGATCAGCAGACCAGAACTGAAAAAAATCTAGAAATCAACCCTCATAAATATGTCCCATTGATTTCTGACAGAACAAATACAAATCAATGACAAAAGAATGACTTTTCAATACATAATGTTAGGACAATTAGACATCTAGATGCAAACAATGAACTCTAACCTAAACTGCTCATGTTACACAAAAAATTAATGCAAAACAGATCTTACATCTAAGTGTAACCCTTAAAACTAAAAAAAAAAAGAAAATTAAGATAAAACATAGCAAAAAAAATCTCCATGGCCTGTGTGCTTTATCAGAGTTCACAGACATGATGCCAAAGGCATGATCCATAAAAGAAAAATTTTTATAAAGTAAACTTCATTGAAATTAAAAACTCAAGATGAATGGGAATGTTAAGAGATTGTGAAAAATGAAAAAGAAAGCTATAGATTGAGAGAAAGTATTTGTGAATCATATATCCATCAAAATAGTGTCTAGAAGTCATAAAGTCACAAAACTTAATGGTAAGAAAACAACCCAATTTAAAAATGGGCAAAAGATATGAACAGACACTTCATCAAGAGAATCGATAAGCCTGGCATCATGGCACACGTTTGTAATCCCAGCACTTGGGAGGCCTGAGACAGGAGGAGCGCCACAAGTTTGAGGCCAATCTGAAGTGCAGAGCAAGACCCTGTCTCAAAAAAAAAGGGGGAATCTATAAATAGGAAATAAACACAGGAAAAGATGTTAACACTAGTAGCAACTGAAGAAATACAAAATCAAAACATAATAAAACTATACACTTATTAGAATGTCTTAAACAAATACGGCTTGGGGTATAGCTCAGTGGTGGAGTGTTTGCCTCATGTATGTAAGGCTCTGTGTTCCCAGCACCAAAAACCAAACCCTGACAATACCAAATGCTGGAGAGGATGTGGAAAACATGGCATTGTCATGCATTGCTGGTGAGAATACAAAATAGTATAGCTACTATGCAAAACAATTTGAAAATTTTTTTTTTTGGTAGCGGGTATTGACCTCAAGGTCTTGTGCTTGTGAGGTAGGCGGCAGCTAAATCCCCGGCCATTTTGGCAATTTCTTAGCAAATTAAACAAACATTATATGAACATTCCTATGTATTTTTCTCTAAAGAAATAAAAATTACATTCATACAAAAACCTATCCACAAGCGTTTATAGAAGCTGTATACATAATCACCAAAACCTGGAGACAACTCAAATGCCTTTTAAATGAGAGAATGGAGGTCCCGGGCCCCGCCCATGCCACGGTGAGGTCCGCTTAGCCGCGCCGGGCGCCTCCAAGGCCCAGTGTTGTCGTCCCCGGCGCCTCTGGCCTTCTGGCTTTTCTGCTACCTGGTACCACACTACAGACGCACAGGGGATTACAAAGACCCTTGTCCTGAGCTCCACAAGATAGAGCAGAAGTTAGTAGCAAAAAGAGGGCTTCTCAGGCTCCTCGGTGAAAACTGAAGCTCAGCGGAAAAGTAAAGAGAATCTCTACAATAAAGGCACATCAGACCACTGTACTGGGTCTGCTGCTGGCTTGCTGAAATTCATTGACTTGTATATGCACAGGGATTCCTACGTTGCCTACTGTGACAGCAGAGACATACCCTGAAGGAGGCCCATAATTTTTATTTTTTGCTATTTGCAAAAAAGAAAAAAAATT